ACTCTCTTCTTCTCTCTCTCTCTCTCTCTCTCTCTCTCTCTCTCTCTCTAAAACACACAAACAATGGGGGACCTTCATTCATTAATTGGGATTTTATCCTTCAATAGCTGTTATTTCCCCAAATTCTCTCTCTCTCAAGGTGCGGGTTCTTAATTCTGATTTCTGAGTTGGGTTCTTAGAAACCTCCCTCATGCAATCAGAGAGACACGAATTACTTTCATTTGGGGTGCCAATTATCAATGTAGAGAGAGAAGGAAACAATGTTCTATCTCTCCCCTGGTTCAGGAATTGCAGGACCGGATTCAAAGCACCATAGCCACATTTGGGGCAAATGGGGTGAGGCCTTCTGAAACAGAGTACGAAGAAGCAATGGCAAAGATTAGAAAGGATATGGTCAATTTCCATGGAGAGATGGTGCTCTTGGAAAATTATAGCAACGTCAATTACACAGGTAATCAACCTCTAGAGAGAGAAAATGCTTCTCTCATCAATTGCGATGACATTGAAATCACCCAAAAAAAAAATGAATGAAATTGAACCTAAGAAGGAAAACAACTCATGTCACTAGTGTTATTGTAGGGTTCGGTGACAGCAAATCGCTGCACCCATATCTTAAGGGTATTATGGTAAAATAAAAATAAATTTTTATTTTAAAGATTAAGAGTGTTATAATAAAATAAAAATAGATTTTTTTTATAAGCAAGAAAATGATCTCAAAAAAGCTTAATACTCATTCGGGTCACCTCTTTGGGGGGTTATGAGAATACATCTCTAATATGGAGATGGGTCTCCAAGAGAGAAAGACATGGTCTTTGATAGAGGCATTATTCTCATGACTTATCACGGTGGAAAAGATGACGGTAATCGACGGTGTTGCTAGGTCGGGAGAGCAGATTTAGAAAAGGGATCGGTGATGATCTTTTACCTATGTTTAGAGATAGATATTATCTCTTGTAATCCAAAAGTATAATCTTGATTGTGATAGTAGATTTCGACTTGCCGAGGCCGTAAATGTAGCCCTATAAGTGAACCACTTAAATTTTGTATTGTTGTCGTATGATTTTTATGGTTGTTTTATTTCTCGCATTAGAGTTATAGTTGTATTTATTTACTTCGTATTTAACTAATTAAGTACATAATCTTGAGTGGGATTCCAGTATTTGAGATTCATAGTTCTACAAGTGAGGGTTGCAGAGAATCCTACAGTTATTTAGCAAATTGAGAGAGGAAATTTAAAACTCCCTCCAATTCAAGGTTCAGGAACAATCGGCCCCAGGCCGATACTCAAGTGAAACTCACATTAATTTTTTTTTAAAAAAAATGTAAAAATTTTATTAAATGGCAAAACCAATTCATAAATATTTTATGGGAAAATATTTAAAGAGGCTATTTACCTTTGGTTCAAGGTGGTCATAAATAATCTTGACCATTGAATGTAAAATTGGGTGTCTACATTTATTTCATTGACCAAGCTCAAAGTTCAAAAAAAATTTTCTCAAACTTTGTGGCACACCCAAGCTATCAGATTTCACATCGAATGGTTATAAGTAATTGTTACCTCCATGTACCAAAGGTAAATGGTGTCATTGTATTCAATCTCATATTTTATACATAATTTAGATTATTGAACAACGATTTCTTTTTCTTGTCATGCACTTTATTTTTATATAGCCGACCCCAATTAGTTGGGAAAAAGATTTGATAATAACATTTTATCTTTCTTTTTTTAAAAAAATTTTATATTTATATTTTATACTTTTCCAGCTTATTTGAAATTTTTATATTATTGTTGATTTAGTTTTATTTTTACTATTCTATTTCTAACATCTATTTTGAAATTATTTTTTTATTTTTAGGGCTTTCTAGTGATGTAGACTACTCAAGCAAGTCAACTCTGACTCGTCCAAGTACTAGGCTCGGGCTAGGGCCGAAGTTCAAGGCCTAAACCGAGTTCCATGACATTGCTTCGATTACATGTCATTGGACATCTAAAAGCACATAGTTAGGAAGATACCAACCTCAATTTTTTTAATTTTTTACCGGGTTTTTTGTTTTTGCAGGCCTTGGAAAGATCTTGAAGAAATATGATAAGAAAACTGGTCGGTTTCTTAGGCTCCCATTCATTGAGAAAGTATTGGGGCAGCCATTTTTAATGACAGATCTTCTCTCTAAACTTATCAAAGAATGTGAGAAAACAATGCAGGCTTTATTCCCAGTTGAAGGGGGAGGAAATGAAGCATGGGAGGAGAGCATATTTAGGAACACAGTGGCTGCACTTGTGACCATAAGAGAGATGAGAAGGGGCAGCTCAACTTATAGCCCTTTCTCTCTCCCCCCAATAGATGACCATGGAGATCATTTCTCTCTCTACTCGCTAATTCCTATACAGTAGCTCGGATTACGAGACCTGGGATTTTACTTCTTTTTTCTTTTTTTTTGACAATAAGACTTGGGATTTTACTTTACACGAACAAATTATAAACTCATGTTTGCCACTAATTGACTACTATATACAAAAATTTTGTTACTTTTTTGCTTTGTGTTTGGTAATGGAATGAAGAAAATGTTGTAGGCACATAAAGATACGAGCCTCTCTCTGTCTCTCTCTCTTGTAAAATGCAGCATTTTATAATTCGCGATTTCTTATCCAGATTGCTCATTCAGACTAGGGATTGGCTGCGACCGATCTGGTTTGGGGAAGATTTGGGGTCTCCAGCTAAAACACCCTCTTTGATACTTAACAAAGCTTATCTAATGTTTCTTGTATCCACCATAAATCCCCACATCCCTGTTTTAAAATTTTTATTATTTTTAATGTTTCCTGGATCACCAATTCACATCAATACATCAACGATTCACTGATCCAACTCAGATATGTAGGGACAATCCATGCCATTGATCTGGGTTTTGAATCACCTAGTAAAAGCGGTTGAAGATATAAATATGTCGTGATATGTATAAATCTTATATATATTTTCTTTTTTTTGTGGATATGTTTGCTCTTGTATAAATATGTGTAATTTGTCATATATAACAACCTTTTTGTATATTTATACCTTTTTACTGTTGCTTTTATTCGTGGTTGATCCAAGTATCGAATGGATGTTAAAAAAGCCTTCCTCCATTGAGATTTGCATGAAGAAGTCTATATGAAGCTCCCTCCTGGCCTATCTCATCAGTCTCATAAAGTTTGTAGGTTTCGACGAGCCTTATATGGTCTTAGAGAAGCACCTTGTGCTTGGTTTGAGAAATCCACTCATGTTGTTGCTCGTTGTAGTTTTGTGCAAAGCTGTCATGATTCAGCCCACTTTGTTTATCACTCATCTAAGGGCATTGTTCTAGTATTATTATTATATGTTGATGATATGATTATCACAGGCAATGATCTTGATGGCATTCGTGATATCCAACTTCATCTTAGTAACTGTTTTGAAATGAAGGATCTTGGCCAACTCCGTTATTTTTTGAAAATAGAGGTGGACTCTTCTCCATGCGGCTATGTTTTATCTCAAGTCTTATTCAAAAGGTAAGTTTAACTAACACTAAAACACTTGTTGGTTGTCTTAACTCTTTGACAAAAACCCGACTTAATATTAGTCACGTTGTTCACATTATCAGTTCATGTATACACCCCGTTCTTTTCATTATGCTGCAGTACTTCGGATCCATGGCACTTTATTTGAGGGTCTTCTTTTCTCTTATACTTCTCATCCAGAATTGCATGCTTATTATGATGCTGATTGGACGGGTGATGTTACGGATTGTCGTTCCACCATTGGATTCCTTATTTTTCTTGGTGATTCCTTTATATCCTGAAAAAGTAAGAACCATGATGTACTTGCTTATGCTACATGTGAGATTATCTGGTTACGATGGTTACTTCGAGATGTAGGTGTTTTTCATTCTACCCTTTCACCAAATTTTTTGTGATAATAAAAGTGCTATCCAAATAGCTCACAATGATGTATTTCATGAGCAAACAAAGTTGTCACAGTACTAGTTTTAAAATACTAGAATCCTTGAGATGTTACAGTCGATTCTTAACAAAACAAATTCTTAAACTTCACCATTTATTGCGCTAAAACAATTTTCCATTTCTACGAGTCTATAAAATCTACTCATAACTATATTAACATGAAGGTTTAGATATACATCTATTGATAGAACAAAAATTTACTATGGTGAAGTTAAACAAAAGTTACAAAGGAAAATTTAGTTATGACATGACTGCATCTTCTTCACAAGCTGGTCTTGTTGTGCATTTAACTATGAGACTGTAATTA